CATCGGAAAACAGCCTCTCCGTAAGTGTTCTATCAGATCGCAACATCCCAGCATGATGAATACCGAAGCCAGCTTCGAAGAATTTGACAAGATCCTTATTTCTGGACTTCATGACATCTTTCTGAGATACAGCAAAAACAATCCTGAGAAATTAATAACTTTAATGAAATTAAATAGATGATGTATACTCCTCTAACTGACCTTCATTAGTTGAAACTGAGGATGAGTCTCATTCGTGAAAAAATCAAGAGTTTCGTATTTCTGGGCAAGATCAACCTGCCAAAGTGAAAAAAAATTGAAGTCATGTACGTCTAAATCTGGATTCTGAAATCCTTTGAGTAATCATATCTACACCGAGGTCATCCTCGCATGTTTTCAGGTGCATGCAAATATTAAAAATTTAGGAAACACACAAATGCATGTATTTTGGAAGACATCAGGTAAAGAGAAGAAGCAAGAAATTAAAAAGTAACATGTACCAGTTTCTCGGCCGTTTTTGAAGTGTCTTTTCGGGAATGGACAAAAATCATTGCTTGATGACCTTGTCTAATTGAATCAACAACCTAACATGTTACCAGATAGATAAGTGACTGTCTATATTAAAATAGATACAACACAAAAGAGGCTTTGCTCAAGATAGAGACCTTTTTGTAGCATATCTCATTCAACAATTCGTTTCTAGCAGCAAAGTTATGCTCGGTAATGCCTATATACTGCTGAGCCAAGGGAACTGGGCGATAGCTCGAATCAAAATAGAAAAGGCCAATGTCTGGATTTACTCGTAGAAACTGAGCAACCTGTAAACCCCACAAAAGGTTCAAAAAAAAAGAAAAAATCATGAGCGACCCTAATTTCCTGAGATCAAAGAGGATATGTGAAGTAAAAACAACGTAGTGGCATAACAACATCGTGACAGAGATATATATCATGCTGGAATAGACCTGTAGGTAGCTAGGTAAAGTGGCTGACAGGCCTACAATTCTGATCATAGTCTGAGTAGATTCCACCTGATACAGAAAACAAAAGTCAACCAGATGTTAACCTGCTGTCCCGTAAGGAGTACAATTAATATAACTTCAAGAATTGCTTTAACAAATTCACAGCCAGATTGTTTTTAGAATTTAACTGAACAATGAAAAAAATATGATCGTTACCTGACGGAGGGTCCGAGCAACTAGTGCTTCTATCACTGCACCTCTATCATCATTCAGAAGATGCACTTCATCAATGATCAAGAGTTTTACAAGCATTGACAATGACATGTCACTGCTTTTGCGAGTAATGACATCCCATTTCTCTGGTGTTGTCACTATCATCTGATTCACAATCAATAAATAACAGGTATATATCACTTTCTGCATGTTTCCGCAAGAAACTTAAGCATATCTTCTAAGCTTAAAGTGAAACCTGAGTTTCTTCAAGTTCATTCTTGGTGAGTTGCATATCCCCTGTAAGCTCCTTCACAACCATATTTAATGGAGCGAGACGACGACTAAAGGCTGATGTGACCTCTGCCGCCAATGCCTACAACGAACAAAAATGTATATAAAACGACAAAACTCATCCATAAGATTATTGTAACCTGATTCTACCTTCATAGGAGCTACATAAACAATCTTAAACTCGTTTTTGTGCAAGTAGCCATCTCTGAAGTGTTGTTTAATCTGCAAGATAATTTCATAAAATATGAAATATAAGTCAGTGTTATTAAAATATCAACTTCCACACATTTCAAAAATCTACTCACGCTCTTAGAGAGAAAATCTCAACTTTTTTCAGCATGGTCTGATAAAATCAGGTTCGAACAAACAAAAATATTAACTAGGTAAAAATTACTTACCTCATGTAAAACAGAAATCATAGCTATATTTGTTTTTCCAGCTCCTGTTGGAGCACAAACCTGCCAGATACAGAATATACTTATGCTTGGCAAGGTAACTGGCATTGTCGCTCGGAATGGACAAAAAATTTACTTATGACTCACCAATATATTCTCATTGGTGTGGTAAACTGTCTGAAAAATTCGACTCTGAATACGGTTTAAAGATTTGTAACCATGAAAAGCAGCTTGAGCGAAGTCATCTAATTCTTTTATCTCAATCTGGCAACACGCAAAAATTTAGAGTTAGAGTGCACACAATCTCACAGAACAAGCTACAATAGCATCAACATAAGAAAATTCATTAGAATGTTCGGACAACACTTGAAACTAACTTCCTAGCATGCAATAATTGTATGACTGAGACGTACCAGCTTCTCGCCAGGTTTCATTTGTGCGGTAGGAGTTGGCGGGATAAAAACTTCCTCATATCCTTTTAAGTGCTTCCTTACAGTACCTTGGGGAAGAGCAACTGCAAGAGAATTGGTTTCTCCAGACCCGATCAAATCCTCAAATCCAGTTTTCTTTTCACTTGCCTCTAGTAGATTAGAAAAATTGGCCTCTGATATTTCACTCTCCAAACCCAGCTCGGCACCTCGTCTGTTTTTCTTTTCCTCCTTACGTCGAAGTTTCTCAATTTGCTTTGCAGACTCTGTTTGAACAGTAACCTGAAAGGTGACTGAGGGTTAATGTGGCTATAGAAAAAAATGCTACCCAGCATTATACAGGAAGGCGTCACTCAAATGGCACTACCTGTGTGCCATAGGTAGGCATCCGAGATTGGGTGTTTGAAGCTGTTTTGTCAGACTTGAGAATCATCTGACCATGATGGATGGCATCAACAATCTCCTTCCGATTCTGTAAAGGGAGTCAACAAAACCAATCAGGTACAATGTGTCGAACCACAGACTTCAGCTAAAAGAGCAATGTAGAATGTTAGGCCTTACCATAATAAGGTCTTGAACAGTCTCAAATGCACTATCCCCAACAAGGTCCAACAAATCTCCAGCTATCTGACAAAAGAATGTCAACATACCTTCTACTTTCACTTGCACATAGTAAGTCCAGAAATATTTTACCAAAAAATACCATACCTCCTCACCAGGCTTATCCGAATCCAGAAACCTGCATATAGCCATAGCCAGTTCATCACGGGACAGTTGTGAATTGCTCTCTCTAACCATCTGCCCGCATGCATCTCTAAGCCAACTTAAATCAAACTTTCTTGCACTTTGATTCTTCGTCGTGTCGTTGACATCACTCCATCCTTCAGAAAATGATGCATGTGCGTCATTGCTTTCAACATCCTGAAAACTTCTTTCGCCAATAGATGCTTCCATCAAAAAACGAGCTGGTAGATTGAAGGCAAGGTCGGCACCAAACTCAGCCCCATCACCACCATCATTAGCATATGTCTCAGACTGATGAGTAGGCTGTATTGAGTAGAGTGCCCGAGCTAAGGAGGCCACTTTCTTTACATTAGCATCTGAGGCAGCATGCCCAATAAGATTTTGCAGCTCTAACCTGTTCAATATAAAGCAAAACTCAACTACCTCTGAACACCCTAAGGAAACACAAAGCCTTAACCACTTGCGTACAGTAAACTTCAAGAATATTTCCTCAGCGTGGTTGGTAAATAAGATAATACCCAAATCGGATATACAAATCAACAGTACTTACTTCTTTTCGGCAATGCTTTTATTATTAAAATCACTGTCCTCCTCCGCTGGCTTGCCAAACAGACGATATGCGGCAAAAGCAACCTCACGAAACTCATCTGATGGAACTTCCCGATCAATCAACTCCACTACAGCTCCAATAAACTGCTTGTATGCTTGACGCACTTCTGGAGAGGCTGTCACAAAAATTCCCATCAAAATACACAGAACACCACATCATATATCATCTAGAGAAATAACAGATATGTTTTTGGGATTAAAAAGAGAAGATTATCATCAGATCATCAGAAAAGCACCTCGTTCCCATTGATGGACTATCCTCCTAGCAAGGTCAAATTCATCAAGGCAACTCCCGGAGCTGAAGTGACAACACACAAGAAAAACACCGTTCCAACTCAATTCAAAGTATCTCCAATAAAACAATAAACTTAAAGAAAATAACTTCCAAATTCTCGTTCTCAAGTGCTTTCCAAAACTGAAATTCCAGGAGCTTAGCAAAATTTGATAAGAAACATTGTCATTCACCTGACTGTACAGCTACCAAATTCTATACAGAACCAAACAGATCCTAGAGAAACAACTGAAAACCTACTAAACGAGTGAAATCGGTTCGAAAGAATAGTGAAATTTCAGGAATTCAGAAAGAAAAAAAAACTCGACCTGCGAGGCTTATTAAGAGTTTGGAGTATAGTTTTGCGGCGAAGGTACGCCTGATCGATGTCGAATGGCTCTCTTAGAGAGCTTGTCAAGCGAGGAAGCTGAACCAACATCACTAAACCTTGTAATTGCGTCGTTTGGTCTGCTTCTCCACTTCTGGTCGGCTCTCCGATGAAGAAGGCGATCGCTTGGCGCTTAAACGGCGTCACTTCAATACTTGAAGAACAATTTTGCTAAGACCCGTACACCCGACCCGTTGAAACACGGGTGTGGAAATACGACGGCGTTTTCTCGATTAAAAGATTTTTTCGGGATATTTTAACATTCATTGCAGAATAAAATATGACATGTGATGGACCATAATATTTTCTTCTTCTTTTAATTGGCAACGATTTAGGTTGGTGAAACAGGGGTTTTAGTATTTGAGATTCAAAACAGACAATAATTTTCTCTGAAAAAAAAATTGTACATTTACTGCAAATATAGTTAATTGAAAACATGTCAAAGTATTAAAATTTACATGGCACTGTAGTACAAAAACAATTTCACATCCTCATCATGAACAAGATTTTCTGATTCAGCAATATCATATTATCACAATTCCCCATTTATATGTGGAAACACAAAATTTGGCTTTTTCAGTAACTATTGAAAACGTTATATTACCAATAATACAATATGTCTCTTTAATTTAAATCTCAAATACACGTACAAAAAAAGTCTACACGAGCTATGTTCTTTAATGATGCAAAAAAGCACTCAAAAGGGTTTAGAGAAGAGACAAAAGGACACACAACAAGTAGCCACTCTCATCTCATCCCTCTCTCTCTCTCCCTCTGTTTACTCCACTTTCTCTTCTTCTTCTTGTTCTTGCTCTAGAGATCTCTATCTCTATCTTCATTCTTTTCTCTTTCCCTCTAGAAGACTACTGTGACATTCTGTCTGAACGCATCTATGGCTGCTCTGGTGCTTTCACTTCTTCTTCTAGCCATGGCTGGCCATTCTAGTAAGAAACTTCCAGTCTTCCTCAGATTTCTTAGCTTAGTCTTATCTCTATAGCTATAAAAGTCTCAAGCCGTTTGGTTCTGGTCTGAAAAAAGGTTCTTGTAGCTGTGAAGGCTTTTACTGTTCCTGAGTGTTCTGCCATCGATAGAGACAGATAAAAAATTACCATTATTTATATTTATTATTGAGTATTTCATTGTCATTTCTCTAAGCCTACTGCTGTTTCGTTGGTTGCTCTTCCTTTGAATAACGAAAAAAAAAAATTCAAGATTTGTCTTCTGTTCTTGTCTCATTTCATCTACCTCTTTTTTCCTTGAAGGCCCTTTTTGCAGATTCTCTTTTATGTGTTGAAGTGTTTTTTTTTTGTCATGAAAAAAGTTCACAAATTTCTAGAAATCTTGCTGGTTTTTTCCGATTTGCTTGTATTCGCACAACTTCTTACTTAATTTTCGACTCTATTGTTGATAGAAAAGATGATAATTTTCAAATCTTGCCTTTTAAAGATGAAACCCCTCAAACTAAATTTTTAAGTTTTCCCCAAATCTTGCTGGCTTCACATTATAGAACAAAGAAGATGGAACCTCATGGTTTGTTGAATCGATGACTAAATGTTGGCTTTTCTTTTGGTCTGTGTAGGTGCCTCATGGTGTGTGTGCAAAACAGGGCTGAGTGATACAGTGCTACAGAGTACCCTAGACTATGCCTGTGGCCATGGAGCAGACTGTAATCCCACTCACCCTAAAGCACCTTGCTTTAACCCTGACAATGTTAGGTCTCATTGCAGCTATGCAGTTAATAGCTTCTTCCAAAAGAAGGGTCAATCTCCTGGAACTTGTGATTTCAGTGGCACTGCCACTCCAACTAACACTGATCCCAGTGAGTCTCAACCATTCCCATTCGACTGCTCTTTGATTTCCTTCATCTTTGATACATTTGAGAAACTTTTTCTTGGAGTGATTGTTAGGATCCCTGAGGTGCTCAATCGATTGATAGTTACAGAGAGTTGAATTCTTTTTTGTTTTTGCAACTATTGAATGATTTTGGTATTTAAGATTCCGAGACAATGTAGATGTGCCAAATGTATGATAACGACTATATTTCTAACTTCACGTCTGTGGATAATAATAATCACTGTCTTAACATTTCTGTATTTGTTGAACTTTGTTTTTTTTTTTTCAGGTTATTCGGGATGTACCTTCCCTACTAGTGGCAGGTATGCTTCTGATTCAAATGGCTTTACATAGAATTTGAAAGAAACGTTTGCATTCTTATGGGACCATGACCAAGAATTTTATCAACTTGTTTTCTATATTTGTGGTAAAGAGGAAAAGTGGACTAAAGCTTGATTTGGGTCCCAAGTTTGCAACTTTTTGTTTTCTTTACTTTTGTTGTGAAAGAGATAGCATCATTAAAATTAATTAAAAATAGAAAACAGCATCATTAGTATTACTTAAATAGAAAAAAGGGAATGAAAATAAGTAATGAAATTTTGACTTTGTGAACAGTCAGTGACTTCTTTTTTTAATACCCTTTTTCCTTTACCTGGCTGTAAGTGTTCAACATGAATCTAAAAGTACTCAATTCCTTTTTTTGTAACCAAATTTTAGATCATATCTACAATCAATTTAAATGCTTTATTGTATTACACTTTGAACGCATGATCAGTGTTCTTGACTGATATGGCCATATACGCAATGGTCAACTAAATCTTTAATCTTTTTGACCCATCAAAGACACTTGTCAATTATTAACTTCATAGGACCAGTTTCAGTTACGAATCTCCCCTAAGTGGTTGTTTCTGTCTGATTTTCTTTAATGTAATGTGTCTCATGTTTTTTTAGCGGCTCTGGAGGCTCTGGCGGCTCTGGCGGCTCTAGTGGCTCTGGAGGCTCTGGTGGCTCTAATGGCTCTAGCGGCAGCACCACTGTGACACCTGGCACAACCAATCCAAAAGGTGGCTCAACCACCACCACACTTCCTGGTGGCAACAGTCCTTATTCAGGAAATCCAACCAATGGAGTTTTTGGAAACAGTAGCACAGGGATTAACCCGGACTACTCGACAGAAAGCAGTGCGTTTGCTCTCAAGAACTCAAGCAAATTGTTCATATGCCTTCTCGTGATCGCTTCGAGTGGATTCTATTCTTTCTTGATGCTCTAGGGATGTTAATGTTCTCTGGTTTTTGTGGGTGCACTTGGTTATTGTCTCAAGGACATTGGTCTAGCTTAGTGGTAATATTTATCTGTGTTATGGGTCTATGTTATGTTTTTGTTGTAAGATGATTTCAGCTAATGTTTTTACTCTTACTACTTATTGATGGGTTCTCGTAGAATTGATGGTAGTGAAAAAGTTTATGTATAAATGATCTCGTTTAGACTGCGAGATTTTTAATTACCGAACATACGTCTAATCTTTTTATTTGTTTGATAGAACGCATGTCAATTATCGACTATTTCGAAAATGTTAAGAAAGCTTGAGTCTTTAAGCTCTTTTGATATGAAATCTCTCTCTCTCTCTCACACACTCTTGTAAGAAATGGTCGTGCCTCGTGTGTTCTTGAGCAATGAAAAGTAAAAGACACAAGTTCGTTACGTCCCAAACCGGAAACGTTATGCCTCTCAGAGATTAATCTTGAAGATCCACTATAAAACTTTTTTTTGGTTGAACCCACTAGAAAACTTGTTATTGGTAAATGGTTATACAAACTCTAGCGATAAATGCATTTCTTACAGTCGCCTATCATTCCACTATGACACTATCGTACACGCAAAGATCTTAACTTTTACCTTCTTATGTCAATCTTGTTTCTCGCTTACACTCTGATCCGTAAATGGGTTTACGACCGAAAGAGAGGACAAGCAAAATGCAGCGTGAGAAACCCCCTTCTTGCAAAGGTCGTGCACGTGAGCTTCACGTGTTCTTTATATGTGCGTTTGGACTGTTGGAATCCTCTCTCCATATTAGAGTCTTCTCTACACTTAATATACAAGGCAAATCCCTTTGAAATCCACCTTGCTTACTGTCGTCGACTCATGAACTTGATTTCCTTCTCGGATCATGAACCTCTTTCTCAGGCACTTGATTCACTGAGCTTCCTTAAGGCATTTAAGGAGCTTACTCAGAGCTGGCACTTTAGTAAGAACATTTGTTAGATAATTTAGATTATTCATAGAGAATTTTAAGTGAAAAATTAAACTATTACAACAAGTATACATTTTATTTTCTTTTCTCTTTTAATAATAAAATCAAGTATACATTTTCATTTTTCCACATACAGAAAGATAAAAGAATGGTTACCTTCGTTTATACCATCCTTCACCTAAATTTCTACTTTATTTTACGATGTTATATCCTTATTTTCTTTGTTTTTTGGTGCTCAAAAATTCTTGAAAAGTAGTTTCAATTATTTTATGTAAATTCTGCTTCAAATTGTATGTCAGTTCAGCGCATTCTTAAGGAATCATGTTTTGACCTCACTTTCGATTCAATTTTTTTGTAGTAAAAATATGTTGCTTCATCAATTTTGTTACCCCCAACCCAAAATAAAATAAATCTTTAGATATCGTTGTTGTTTATAAAAGAGAAGAAAGAATATACTTTTACTGATGCATTCTTATCAAGTGTCTATCATATGACATGACTCTTCTCTTACCGACAACACTATTTTGGATTTGATTTGAGACCATCGCTGGGTAGGTTTTTGTTTTAAAATTTTACTGTGAAAATTGTAGCTCATGTGAATATGTTTGCGCGTTTTTAACCCTTTCGAACAATTTTTATTTGATTTAAAGCAATCTGTTATGATATTTTTATGAAAATTTTTAAATAGAGACTGATGGGTAAATAAATAATGAAGTCGTTAAAAACTGGTGGGTAAATAATGAGTTCGAGTTTTTTTGACAAAAAAATTAAAGTCTCAATATCAGTCAATTTGTTTTTGACATCATCACCCCGTTTTTCTATAGACAAAGATGAAATGACAATTTTGGAATAGAAAACAAAAATTACAATTTATGCAGCCAGTTATAATAGTGAAAAAAAGAGTGAAGAAACAAAATCATCATTCCATCTGGTTATTTTGTTAGTTTAAAAAAAGTATAACCTTCTTTGATGGTTTTCAGAAATCGAGGGTCCTTTTGTTTATTTAAGTAAGGTATGGGACGGTAATTGCAATTTCTCCTTTTTAATACATTTCTTCTTCCCCCTCACTCTCTCTCTCTTGCTGGTCCCTCAACTCTCCACACACCACCTTCCTCCTCCAACACTCTTTCTATCTCTAAACCCATTTGTTCCCTCTAAAAAAATCGAAACTTTCCTTCTGGTTTTCTGATATTAGGGCTTCGTTCGGCACGACGCGTATCCGTAATATGGTATGTTATGTAGAACCACCGTATCTGCTTTTGACATCGTCTGCTCTTTTCCGTCGTGTTTCTCTCTGGGGGTTTTACACCATTTTTGCTCCTTTGGTTCCGTAATTTGCAAGAAAGGGTCTTTCAAATCTTTGTCTTTCGATTTTATGGAAGTATGGCTCTTTCTCGTGGACCTGCATTTTGATATCACGCGTTTGGTACTGTACTGAAATGGGTTTTTGGTGTTGTGTATGGTTTTTTTTATCTAGGGTTTCTGTTTTTAGTAATTTAGTTTTAACACGAAATTTCAGTGGGAATCCTTGGTTTTTGCTGATTACTTTTTTTCGATTATGTTTTTGTTTGTGGGTTGCTAATTTCTGCCATGGAGTGTTCTTAATGAAAGATAAAGATGTTCTTTTTGACATGAGTTCTGGCTAGATCAAATCACACATGGACTTATCTTTGATTTGAGTTTCAATCATGTTCGCTTTACAGTCTTGATCAATGATTATCCTTTTAGATTCCCCTGCGAATTGATTTTTGTTTTGAGTGAGCTTTCCTCTCTTGTTTGAAATTTCTCGGATTAGATTCACTTTACATGCGTAGATATCTGGCTTCTCTTTGATGATTTGCAGTCATATTTGCTTCACTCTCGTGATCAATGGTTTTCCTTTTTGAGTCCCTTGTTTGAAATACATTGTTCATTTAGTGTCCATGTAAATGTCTATACATCACATTTTGTCAGTTATCCGAGCAACTTTTATAGAATTCTAAGTTTACCTGAGGTAATGAGTATTTACAATGTCTCCTTAAAAGGACGGACAATGCAACAACTTAAGAATTGTTGAGGAATCAGAATCAACAACTAAGAAATATTGGAAAAATGTATGCTTGGTTATGTCCTATGTATGACTCCTGATCATTGTCTTTTGGTTGTATTGATGTGTTCTGCGTCGGTCTGTCATATTGCTTTACACAAATCACATGTATGGAGTAATTATACATCTTTGTTTGCTTCCCAAGTTGGTGTTTGTTTGCTGATGGTTTTCTTTTACTGCAATTATTGTAGAGGCCAATTTGTGAAACATGTGGAAACCAAGGATGGAAAGGACTACTTGTAACTTGCTCTAAATGCCGTATAGCCTGTGAACACCGGTGAGAAGTAAAATTATACGTTCTTCCTGTTTCCTAGTCTGCCCGGAGTATTGCTGTGGATTTTGACATTTACAAGCTTTTTGGGATTAGTTTCCAAACCAAGTTATATTCCGATGGTATATTGTTAACTTTGGTCCTCGCAACATCGTGAAATCCCATCTTATAAGCCGTTTACTGTTCCTTCCCCTTTCCAATATGGACTATTTTAGTGATAGTTAGTGTTTTCCTTGGAACTCTCATATCTAATTGGTTTGACGTATGTGGTCAAATGAATCTTCTGGTTGTCTTAATCTGACCCTTACTCGTTTTTTTGCTCTTTGTTTTCCAGTTACTGCATGAAGAAACAGTCATTTGAGACCTCAATCGATTTTGTATGTGCTGATTGTTCGATGAGGCCTGTTCAAAACAGCTTCGCTTCAGAGTCGATCAAAGCAGCCCCTAGAAGTCAAAGGGGTAAAGCGCGGGTTGAATCTTCAAATCCAGTTCCCAGATGGAAAAAAATACCTGAATCATCAAAAATGAAGTTAATTTCACCAGAGGAAGTCAGAAAACTTTCATGTGGGGGCACTAAATCGACTTTTAAAGTACCAAGACCTGTTCCAGCTCGTTCTGCAATGGGTTTAACAAAACAAACTGTTTGTATTCCAAGAGCTAGGAGTCTGAATTCTACAGTGGTGGCTCGCAAAACCAATCCAATTCTCCTTCCACCTAAGAAGGTTGAGCCTCCTAGTCCGCATACTTTGCAGATTCGTTCAGGAGCCAGACCACAAACTTCCAATGCACAAGAAGTAGTAGAAGGTGATATCTCTTGCTTCTTCTCTTTTCCTCCATTTCTGTTCAAAAGGACTAAGATCCTAAACGTATTTCACCGGATGATTAAAAAACATGTATGGTTGCTTTTTTTTTTTTGTTTTTTGACTTTTAAAGGGTCAAAATCGAGAGTTGGTGGTGGAGCCAAAGATCTTGGTTCAAAAGAGATATGCCGATCAATCTTCTCGGAAAAAATGTTGCAATTACTTCCATATCGACCAGCTTTGCGCCCCACTTGGAAGTGAGTTACAGATCAATTCAAACACCCTGTGTTCTTTTCCCCAAATATGTTGTTTTGTTAGAAGCTTCAGTTAGATCACTCTATATTGCCAAAATGTAGCCATTACTCTATGCAGATTACCTTGTTTATATTCTCTCATTGTACTTGGTCTTATAGACAGTGTCAAAAGGAAATCTCCTTAATATTCTAATATTAGGCTTTTCTTACATTGCTGAACCAGGGGACGCATTGTAGATTCTGCTACACCATCAGAGTTTAACGGCGATTTTTGGGCTCAACCGGCTTCTGAAATCCGTCGGAAGGCTTACAACCTTTCAAAGACGTTTCCTGGCCTACTCAAGGTCGAATTGGTCCCTATAGGCAACCTTTTGAATGATTTGTATGTGAACAGAAACCCAGCGCTTTCAGATGTCGAGATGTACATTTTCCCAGATGACAAGAACACAAAAAGGTATTCCAAACATCCTTTTCTACAGAAGACAGGCTTCTTAGTCATTGTTATCAAAAAATTTATGGTTCTTGTAGGTTTAAGGAGGAACATGCTCATCTCTTTGAGACCATGAAGAGTCGCAAAGCCATGATCAGAATTAACATCAAGGACACACCATTGCTGATATTTTCTTCAAAGTTACTGGACAAGGCCTCTCAGAGTAAGCCTAATGCATTCTTGCACCTTTTTTTATTATTGAATTTGTTTTATGGATGAATAACATCCGCTGTGTTTGCAGTTCACATCGAGATGCAGAAGAAAACAAAGAACTTCCTCTGGGGGATTTTTCTGTTGACGAAAAAGTCATTAGCACTTGTTCCAGGGACTTCCAATCAAGCTGCTCAACATTTTGATGATGGAGATGTGGTTGACGATGACTCTAACGTAGGCTATTCCCTTCCTCAATTATCAGAAAATGAGTAGAATCAGTTTGGTTAGATCTTGGAAGGCATCATCATCATCATAGCTTTAATATTAACGAGTCTCCAAGTGCTTGTTCTTGTCTCTAATGTAGTTTTTATTGCTTGTTTGTCCATTGGCTCTGGTGGAATCAATCTCAGTTCAGACAGACCGATCTGGGAAGCAATTGCAGAGACATTACAGGGAGAGGGAATGATTGAAGCAAGTTGCTTTATGTTGTCTCAAGGATATTGGTAATAGCTGATTTGCTAATCTCTGATTGTCTTCTAGCTGGGTTGTAAGAAGTAAAGTTTTCAGCCCTTGTGTTACTTTTACAGTTTTACCTCTTGGTAGTTAACTCTAGATTTTGGTTGCAAATGGTTGACTGGATAAAATAATAAAACAGAAATGTATATATGCTGGTTTCAGTAAAAAGTGCACCTTTTACAATAAATCAGTAGGGTCGGTCTATATAATGGATGAAAAAAAACCTTTTTTACGCTGATAGTTATTCCTCCTGAACCATTGGAACAATTTTTTATATCTTTCCACTTGTCAGTTTTCCTTTCATTCAACTTACTCCGCATTGACCACCATTTGCAACCGAGCACTGACTGAAATGGTTATTGTATATTTCTGTTTTTCACCTATATACAGTACACTAAAAGGTAGACTCTAGTAACACAGTTGATAAAACTTTGATGAGTTGCGAATTTGAACATCGCTTTCGTATATAAACATATCAAGATTCAGTTAGCAACGAAGGAGTGTGTTGAAGTTGGTCATCGCTCTTCAGAAAAGAAAGTCTGTTTCTTCCATTTCAACAAATTAAACAATCACCTTTCTTCCCTCTTTCTTTTCAAATCGTAATCTCTTTTCAGTGGGCGCCATTGAAGACCTTTTGATCGATAATAATGGAGGACAATGAAAGTGGGTACGACTATCCATGGATGCATATATCTCCAGTCAATAAACCAAAAATACCAAACTCCCATCTGCACGCTGATTCGGAATATGCAATATAAATGCCCTTTCAGAGATTTCTGCGTAGCTGAGCTTAGCCATTGAAGGTGACATAGAGGTATTGTCTTGTAGCAGCTCTAGTGTTGTTACTTGTTAGAGTCATTTGAATTTAGGGTTTTTTAAAAGGTACTAGTTTTTTTTTTCCTTAGGTCACAAGTCACTTTACAAGCTAAATGTGATTGCACATTTTTCAAGTGTCATTTGAGTCATTCACTAATGTACATTCTTGTTTCTCTAATTGTGTCCTTGTTAGCTACTTTGTTAATTTATGGGAGAATTAATGACATAGTGATTAACATTAATTATGCGTTTTCTTAAGTTATAAATAAAATTGATAACAAAAAAAACTTCGATTATAAATATTAATTAAAGATTCAGGAGGTGGTAAGTGGGTAACTAATTAGAAGAATTAAATTTAACTTCAATTTTTTTTTTCCATAACGAAAAAAAAAATTCTTCGTCCTTTCGTTTATATGAAAATCAAGATTTAAGTTTAGGTTTTGGGTGTTCTTGAGAAAAACTGCATCTTCCGTCGTTCCACATCGAAACCTCGTCTCAGGCATATCCTTGGACACCATTGAAGACTCCTTTGATCAAAAATCAATGAAAAGGAAAAACGGGAACGAAGATGAATCCGGAAGTTCGTCACTTTCCTCAGACAAAGGCTCCCAAGAATCGAGAGTAAGGCCCAAATCCGGCGGTAAAGCTATATATAGTCTTTACTTGCAATTGTTAATGTTGGTTTGTGGTTTTTGCATTTATGTTCGTCGCGACTTGTGATTTGTGACTGCTTAATGGGTTATCTTGATTTCCGCCTCTTCTTGTAATCGCTATACATTGGTTCTGTGTTTCTTCAGAAGAGTATATGCTAGAACTGTTCGATGAAATGCTTGAATGAGTCCGGAATCTTTGGGTCCTCACTGTTTCAGGACTTGTTACAATGTATAAGAGATTTTAGGGTTGTTTATTATGTAAAGTGTGGGTCTTTCTTTCTCGGCACTATGTTCCTTATCTGGTTCTGGTTAAAATTGAAAAGTTCATAACGTGTGATACTGATACAATTCTTTTAAATTTGGCATTGCTTCTTTCCTGTATACTGATGTATATGTTAATCTTGTCTTACTCCTATGCATAGGAGCCTTGTGAGATATGTGGGAGTGTTGGCATTGCGGGTTTGATGATGATATGCTTCAAGTGCAGAGAAACACGAGAGCATACGTAAGAAAATGATGCTCTAAGAAACAAAGAATGCTTTTTTACACTCAAATAATTTCGTTTCATGGCTCTTCCTTTCGGTGTCTTTCAGTTATTGCACAAGGGTGTTTTTACCATCTGTCCCTCCTATTTGGCTATGTGAAGTGTGCCGGTTTTCATCTCGCATATTGCTCATATCTGATGTTGCTGGGGATCTAATGGATTCAGAAACCACTGTTGCTGATTGTTCCTCAGATCCAAAGAACTCTAACAGATCCGGAGTAGAAGATCACGAAACCACTACATTAAGAACTAATGCTATGGAAGAAGCTGTAGATGCAGAAATTTCTTTGCCAGTAATCCTTCAGGCATTGACAAGCGACTCTAGATATGAAATCTCTGCAAATGTCAGCCCAGTGAGTCATCTACCCCTACAGCCACCTACAAGTCCACTAGGTGATAAGACCTATCTCTCTCGCTCTTTTTTTGGAAGATACAGAAGAGCTTATAAAGAACTTGATACTTTGGTTTTGAGTGGTATAAACTTGCCAACTACTTATAAAGTAAACCTCCATATGAATTCAGTTTGCCTTCTCTGTTGGATCAAATATAGAAACTGCCTTTGATTTATCCATATCGGTTTATTAGCCTGTTAATCTAAATGCTTCGTAGGAGTCTTTTACGAGGTTCCAATTTTGCTTATGCAGCTAAAGAAACTTCCTCAATATTCAATGACACATCTCAAATCAAGGAGCAGCACCAACCATCTCGGGCCTTTCCTAAAAAAACTAGGACGATTCGGGTTTTGAGCAAACACCTTGCACAACCACATCAGACTCGGATCTCTTCTCTGGATCAATCTTTAACAGAAATGCCTCACCAAAGTGTAAACCAAGAACGCTTCAGCTGATGGGTAAACTCCTTTAAAGACTTAAAGTGGCACCATACTAAATTGATTGAAACTCTTAACGGAAAGTCCTAACCTTTTTTTGTGTAGCTCTCCAAGTGTTGTCAATTGTTTCCATTGGGTGAAAATTTGTGAAACCTTCAAATTTTGATCTCTGAAGAAATAACGGATATGGTCTTGTTGCAGGTACAGAAGAAAAGATCAGTAAAGAGGTCATATTTTGTGTGTATATTTTATCAATTTGATTGGGATACAGTTTTTTTTCCTTGGATCACAAGTTACTTTCAAATAGTGAGAATGCACTTCTTTGATTTCTCATTTTGAGCCACACTCAACGTGTATATTCTTATTTTTCTACGTGTGTGTGCGCTCTTTTCTAGTTGCTACTCAACTCTGTCAAGCAGTTCCTGATGAGAAAACTTTAGAGTTGTTCTGTTTAAACCACTGAAAAAGGTGTCGAATTATTTTTAAGGAGTATTTTATCTTCATATATGCTGTATAATGTATATCATATTCATTTTTTTCTTCAATTCTAATAAAATTGTGAATTTACAATTACAGCTACACAAAAATCTGACACATCTGGACCAATTATAATTAACCAGAGTTTTGTTGAAAAATTAAAAACCAGAAGTTTCGCAGAAAAAATGATAGTGCTGCTTTGATGACAACGTATGGACTCATTAACCGAGTTTACCAAATATAGCAACATACGTCTGCCTTTTCTTTTGGATTGACTGGACCAGTTGGTACACACAATTAAACTGCATTTCAAAATTTTAATCATTTTCTAATAATTTCATTCATATAACATGAGTTACATGAATTCTAAAATATGTGAATTACCATATTTTTATTCTGAAAATCATTCATTCGAAGGAAGTGAGATGGTTCACATATAATACCATAGAAACACGTTCCTCTCTTTTGACCAAAAAAAAAAAAACACGTTTCTCACTTTCTCTCATAGAAACACCTTTTCATAAGGAAAAAAAAAAGACAATTCCTTAAACTCCCTCATGGTCGATGGAATTTCGTTAATATGGTCATTTCTTAAACAATTGCATGGTTGAATGTTTCCAAAGTAAATTACTAAACATTACGCAAAACCCAATGTTAAACCCACTGAAAAAGGTGTCGAATTTTTTGACATCAAAATCGTTCAGATGGACCTTTTTATACAACCTTAAGAAAAGTGCGTTCCTTTTGTAATGGTTGTAAAGTATGAGGGTATATTTTATTTAATTAACAGCTGTGGGCTTATATTGCAATTAATCTTTTTCTATTGTCTTCTTCCTTTGCCCCTTCTCTCCCACCTTCGCACTAGGCCACTCTCTTTCTCTCTCTACATGGTTTTTTGGTTCCCCTTTCAACATTAAAAAACTCTCGGCTGGCTTCTGATTTCACGGTACGAAGCCGAGTCGTTTGGTATCTTAAACTACATTCTCTGATTTTTCTCATCACTAAACTTTTGTTACGTAGTGGCTTTCTCTGATTTTTTTTTTTTGTTTTTGATCATTTTTCTTTCTTTCTTTCTATTCCGTACTAGCCAAGTAAAAAGAAAAAGCAGATAGTTTTTGATTTTCTGAAATTGCTGCTTTTCATTTCGAACAGACAAATGGTTGATTATGTGTTCCTGTGTATCTGCATTTGTTGTCACACGTTCTGTAACTGGGGGTTTTGGGTTTTGTTAGGGTTTTGATGTATTTCTTTTCTCAGCCTTTGAAAAATTATTGTTTTGTGGATCGTTTATTCTCCGCAAGCATTCTAATTTAGTTTGTTATATTGCCTGATTCGCTCTCTCTCTCTGTCACGCCTCCTTCGTTTCTATCTCGACGAAAAAACCCTTTGTTTGGTTTCTACCATCTCAGCTTCTCTCTATCTCCTCGCTACAAGCTTCTCAGGTTTCTCGATCCCTTTCTATTCAACGATTCAGTATGCGTGAAAAATCCTATCTTTGTCGTTTCATCTTCCTTTCAAAAAAATTGATTTTTCTTAGTGTCGTTCGGATGAATCGTTGGATTTGTATGCTTAAGTTCCTCATTATTGTTAGAATTTGTTCTGATTCGTATGGCCGAGAGTTTAGTACGTAGTAGTATGATTTTGTATCTCCTCTCAAATTAGATTCTTGGATTTGACTGATTTTCATTATTGTTGCAGGTTTCCCGATTTGTCATCAATGAATCCTAGTCAAAGCAAATTGCCTTCAAAATCGATCAAAGTAGTCCCTGGCAGGAGTAAACTGCGGGTTGAATCTTCAAATCCAGTTGCCAGAGGGAATCCATTACCTAAATCTTCAAAGGTTAAGTTGATCACACCAGAGGAAGCCATGCAACTATCATCCGGAGTCAATCTTATGCCGGTTTCTCCAATTTCTATACCACCAAGACATATGCCTGCTCGTGCAACTTCTGGATCACCGAGACCTACCCCGTTTAGTCAAACTCATGAAGCACCAAGACCTACGCCGCCTCGTCAAACTCATGAAGAGCCAAGACCTGTCCCGACTCGTCTCACTTCTGAAGCACCAAGACCTGTCTCGGCTCATCCTGCACTAAGTTTCACAAGAGAATTTGTTTGTGGTCTTCGACCTTTAAGTATGAATCCTACACCAGTGAGGCAGAGAAGTAATCCAAGAAGTGTCTCTCAATCTAGGACGGTTGAGCCTCCTCCTAGTCCACGTGCTTTGCAGGTTCTTTCAAGAGTTAAACAACAAGCTGCTAATGCGACACAAGTTCTAGAAGGTGATATCTTTTGCTTCTTCTCTTTTAATGTTTTAAAAGCCAAGTATGTTAAACTTGTTTCCCCTGGATGACTAAAAACTTGTTTTTTTTGCGTTTTCTTGGATTCTCTAGGGACAGTTGTGGAAGTTGGTGATAGAGATAAAGATCATGGTTCCAAGGAGACATGCCAACCAACCTCTGATGAAAGACTTTCAGAGTTGCTTCTATATCGACCAGCTCTGCATCCTACTTGGAAGTGAGTTACTTAACATTCCAAATTGTCTTTTGAACTACACATGTTTTGTTAGAAACGTCTATCAGATCACTTTCCTATAGTATTGCCATTACTCTTAACTAGTTACAGTATCCACAGGAAATGTTGTACAAATACTCTTTGTTTTCCACTTAGCCTTATTTGCATTCTTTCATGTAAATCAAGTGAGTCTTCCTTGCCAGAAAGTTGAACAATCCTTAAATCTTTTTTCACATTACGCATATGCTACATTGTTGAAACTGAAGATATGCGAATGCAGAAGCTTAATGGTTTCAAGATAACATGACCAGAATAAGATTCATGATGCCAATATCTTGATTTTCTTATGACAATATTCGATTCCTTCGTAAACTAGGATCATTTGATTTTCACAAGTTACTAGCTTTGCAGTTCCTCCTCGCTTGTATATATGAACTTTTTTGCTTTTAATCACTGTACCAGGGGACGCATTGTGGATTCTGCCATACTGTCTGAGTTTGACTGCGAGTTTTGGGCTAAACCGGCATCCAAGATCTGCGGGAAGGCACTGAGACTTTCAAAGGAGATGCCTACGTTACTCAAGGTAGAACTGCTTCCTACAGGCCATATTTTGGATGATCTGTTTCACAGAAGCCCAAGGCTATCGAATGTGGAACTGTACCTTTTCCCAGATGAGAAGAATACTGAAAGGTTCTCAAAAGCCCTTATCTTCAATGGACAAGCTTCTTATACTGTTCTATCGCTGTTATCAGAAAACTTATCCAATCAGGGTATGTACACCTCATTCATTCAGGTTTAAAGGGGAACATGTTCATCTGTTCGAAGCCATGGTGACTCGCAATGCCATGATCAAAGTTAATATAAAAGGCTCGGAGTTGTTGATGTTCTCCTCGAAAGTATTGGACGAGACCTCCCAGTGTATGCCCACTGCATTTCTGCATCTCTTTTGTCTGTCCATAATTTCTCAATCAATTGGCTTTAAGATAACATCTGTTTTGTGTTTGCAGTTTTCATCAGTACGCAGAACAAAACAGAAAACTACCTTTGGGGTTTTTTTCTCCAGAACAAAATCTCACAAGCACCTGTTCCAGGAACTTCTTATCAAACTAATAAAGATTTTGATGAAGGAGATGTTGTTGACATGGAGTTAGACACTGATTACCCGACCCCGAGTCTGGCTCTCAAGCTAGTTGCAGAATCACAACGCACTCCCTCAATCTCACTGGGGAAGGAGAACAAAGAAGTCAGCTTACCTCCTGGTATCGAGAATCCTTCAAGATCACCGGGAAAGGTAAAGAAAGAACTGAGCTTACCTCCTGGTTTCGAGAAGATATGGACACCACCCTTGGTGACACTTAATATACATGGAACTTGGAACCATCTGTCTGAGGATCTAACAGGATCTGCTGGATTAGTGCGTGACGAATCAGGGAAGTGGGTGTTTGGCTACGTCAGGTGTCATAAGAGCATCTCTCAAGTCACAGCTGGGCTTTTAGCAATTTATCATGGCCTTAAACCTCTCTGGGACAGCGGTTGCCGAAGAATCCGCTTGGAGACAACAAGCCGTGAGATCATCGATGCTCTAACAACAAATTCGGGCCTTTTCCTCAAAAGAAAATCGATTCTGAGATTGTGCAAGGAGATGATCTTGAAGGACTGGGAGTGTGAGATTTACCATATCTCCAAAGAACAGAACTCGTGTGCAGAATGGTTAGCAAGCCGATTAGAAGGACAGCCTCAAGGATTGGTTTTCTTTGAATACCCTCCTCGAGGCCTTTTGGGTCTTCTGGAGAAAGACCGTCTTGCAGCTAGATAAAGCTTTGAAGTACAGTCACACTGAACAGCTTAGATTAATGTAAAAATTCTTAGTTTTGAATTGTTCAATTTGTTATTTTATTTTTATTTTTGAATGTATTAAATTATACTGGTTTTGCCTATTTAATTATAATTTGAAGAAGTGAGAATATTTATGATAAAATTGAATATAATTATACAAAAATCATTAAAATAAAAAAAATATGATATATTCATTGAAAAACAGATATAACAACAATAAAAATGAACTGATGAAAAAAAATTATAATTAATTATTGAAAAATTATTTAAAAGTTTACAAAAGCAATTGAAAAAATTTATTTAATTCACAAATTTTGTGTGATTTTATTCATTTCATATTCAACTATTTTTTTTATTTAAATTTAAAGTTGTTATTAATCTTAAAGTAAATTTTGTATTTGTTGATTTTTAAATAAATATATCAAAATAAAAATTTGTATTGGTTAAACAAGAGGATAAAAAGATTAAATTTTAAATTTTATTGTTTTTAATTGTTTTTAAAATACAGATATAAAATGGAAATAGAAGTGAAAATGATTTTAAAAATTATCTTCTTGATTTGAAAAAGTTAATGTATAATATTTGATCATTATGTCAATACTATGTTTAAAATGTAGCATTTGAATCTTCACTAAAAAAAATAGCATTTGATTATTTTGTACAAATTTTAGTTGGTTTGAGTATATTAACTTATAAGTGTTTGACCAAATAATACGTTTTTGAAATATGACATACTGTATATAGATTCAAAACAAAACCGTTAAAAGCCTCACAAATTACATAAAAAAAATTATTAGATTAACACCATAATATTTTTAATATATCATTAAAATACTAATATATAAAATTTATATCTTAATAAATATAATTGTTTGCATAAAATTTGTATCAACAAAATAATGCTCACGCTACACGTGAACGCAAAATCTAATCTATTTTATAAAAATTCGATATGTCTCACAAGAGCTTGACACATCAGGTTTCTTCTTTATGACACATCAACATTGATAAAAAAAATTAAAAAAAATTAAATTAAACTATTCCACTAATTTAGATTTTCTAAAAACATAAATATTTTTTCAAAAACCAAAGTCACACTAAATTTCAATAGAAGTCGATTTTACTACTCTAATCAAAATCAATGACACAATTCTCTACTCATATATAATTTGCTCTAATCCTTCGGAATTATAAAATCCTATCTTCTTTAGAAAAATACAAGTGTCTTACTCTTTAATGATTAAATACATAATCTAAAAATAAATTAGTGATAACAAGCAGTGGATATGACAGTGATGGCAATCAGGAACTTTGCTGCAATGGATAAGGCAGACAATAGGAATCAAAGACTATGAGGAAGAAGAAGATACACAAAATGAGAGAAAAATTATCAATGGAACACTGACTAAGAGGAGGACATGGGATCCAGATGGATATGAGGTGAATGAAGGAATAATGCATACGAATGGCAAGAAGAGGAAGATGAGTACCTAAGTTTCCATCAGAAAATATAAAACAGTAAATCTCACTTACCTTTTCTACAACCTTTATAAGTTCCAAATCTCTAGACTCTAATATTGCTCTTTAGTAAAAAGACGGTCACCTTCATGAATGATTCCCTTGTACCCAAATTACTAACATAATTTTTATGTTTTTATTAGCTTGTCTGGTTTTGAGAACCGATCTGATTTAGTTTAACTTTAACTTTAAGTAGTTTTTATGTTGGTTAATGAATGACTTGGATTTTGACTTTGATTTATCTATATATGAATCTGGTTGCTCGGTTTTCTAGAGAATCAAGTTTCAGTTATGCGAAAATGTGGAATATAGAGTTATGCCACAAATCGGATAATGTGAAAACGAAATTGTACTACCAAACCGGACGGTTAGGTGTATTTTTATCAGACTTTAGCGAATAGTGGGCCGTAATCAGAAGACCATAATAAATAATAGTTAAATACATTGTGTGAGATCCATTAATCCTCGTGTCACCAATTCAAATCTGGTTCATGGCATAGGATTTATTAATTTTGAGAAGTTTCCAATCATCAAATTAAAAGTATTTTTTAATCATTATAAGGACTTTAGGAGTCTAAGGTGTTTTCAAGTGATATTTAGATTAACCATAATTAGGAGCCTAAGATGTTAAAGTAATATTTAACGTATTGAAGGAGAAAGTTTACACCATAAATGGATACGTCCGAGTGTAATTACTATTGGCTCAATCATAACCCAAATTTAAGAGGATCACTGGTTTTTCATCAATAAGCCGTATGTAGATTCAAAAGCATAAAAGGTGGTTTGTTTTAAGCACATGAATGTTTTTTCCAAACCATATTCATAAGGCAAATACTGTAGAACTAAATGTTTAATATGCTCTTTTAACACATAAATCTTTTTCTCTAATATTAAAATCAAACCATAAACCATATGAACCATTTTTAAACACCATGAATCCAAAAAAATATTGACTGTGTGCACAAATTTTGATCAGGTGATGCATGAAAGTTGCATCAAATCTATTCGATAGAAATATTATAGACTACAATCCTTTATTACAAACCATAAAAGCATAAACTATTTATTTGTTATATCACAATATCTATCCTTTATTTATTTTCTTTTATGTAATTATATTTTTCCGGCATGTCACTGCAACTTAATGTAATGTGTTTATAATTAAATCCTAGTAAAAATTGAAAACTAAAATTTTGAATACACTGCTTGGTTTGGCTGGTTTTTTAGCCAAGTGTTGCGCTACATAATCTACATAATCTACACTTGGATTCGACCTCATTTAATATGTTATCACTAATGTTCTCTCAGCTGATGGAGTTTGCACAAGGAAAGATTGTGATGGCATTAGAGGGAGGGTACAACCTTGACTCAGTTGCAGTTGCAAAGCCTTCACTCGCGTGTCAAGTTTTGCTTGAAGACAAACCAATTCAAAGTTCTTGTGAAGAATACCCATTCGAGTCTACATGGCATGTCATACAAGCGGTATGACTCTATATCTTGAAACAATGTTCCATGAATTGGCCTGTGGTACTTATTAGTTGACAAAACACATCTGTTTCATGTGGGTTTTATAGGTAAGTAAGGAGTTATGCGCATATTGGCCTTCACTCGCAAAAGAATTATCGTGGAAACTGATTGATCCGAGAAATCCTATCCCGGTTGGGTATTTTTCTTTTACTTCATTGGAGAGAGTTTCCTTGCCTCTTCGCTAGCTTTCATCTGCTTGTTCTTCTTCTTCTTTTTATTTTCCTTTTAGCTTCTTCTGTGTGTTCACTCTAGATGATCGAAACTGAAGACAATGCTCATGTAATCATTCGACATGCCAAGCCCAACAATGCGTTCTCTAACCCCAAAATTTGCGAATTTTATCAATGTATGGTTTCAAGTTGGCGTGAGGTAAGCTAGCTTCTCCTCTTTATATTATTTTTTCTCTATTAGTTTTTAAAACATCCGTCCATCAGTGTGACCAACTCCCGTAATGTGGCAGTCGTGGGAAGCCCAAAACAGCATGGTCAATTTTTGTGAGCTTACGTTCAGGAAACAGATGCGACGGGATAAAGCTCAGCGCGATGAGCTGAAAGCGGCCAATGCCACCATCTCTGAGCTAAAAAGTCAGCTTAGCAAAGAGCACGACAAGGAAGAAAAAAATACCAAGGAGGTTGCTGGTTTGCGTTCCAAGGTCACTGTATACAGCAAACTGCTGGCAGAGATAGAGGTGGAGATGGATAGAGCTGTTGCGGGCAAGGAAGAAGAGATAGAGACCCTAATCGCTGCTCATGAAAAGGCCAAGAGGGAGCTCGTTTCAAAATATCACAAGAGACTGGCCAAAGTTGAGATATACCTTACAGAAAGAAGCACAAAGCTGCGCTTGCCGCTCTGCAAGTCCTTGAGAGCGAGTTAGACGGCGAGGCGATCTCGAGCTTTCTCCGGTTTCTTGAAGATTCGAGTTGTCTTTCATCAGTTTTGTATAACGAAATGAAAATGTTCCAAAGGTGCTAGAGAGGATGGATGCTCAGCAAGATAAATTCGTTTTTGATGAAAATTGTCTTCGCCGGTTCACTAATTTTAAATTGGTTTATGCGGTTCATCAATGTTGATAACCCCGATTCAACAGGCCACTCCGGTCTGGTTTTTCTTAAATCATTTTGGTTTCTAGTAAAGTGTGACCTGTTGGAGTATTATGATTGGTCGAAGTGCTAAGTATCTCACTTTCCCTCCAAAGAAGCTACAAATATCAAAAATGGTCAAATCAATAAAGTAAAGAAAAATGTAATTAAAGTATAAAATTGATCAAAATTGAAAAATAAAATTACTTTGAAGTTTTTTCACTTCAGTTCTCGTTGACCCTTCTTCTCTCCCTGATCGTCGGAAGATAAGACTGTCACATCTCCCCGAGATGGCCATGGCCGGCGATTCTTCCGGTAACAAATGCGGAGACTGTGACGGAGATTTCGTTGGGAACAGCAAGCGAAAGGTTGGTCTTTTATACGACGAGAGGATGTGCAAACACGACACACCTGACGGCGAGGATCATCCAGAGTGTCCTGATCGCATCAGAGTTATCTGGGAGAAGCTTCAGCTCACTGGACTCGCTCAAAGGTTCCTACTTTCTTCTTCTCGTGCGGCTTTCTTGTTTGGCGATAAAGCCCTAGAAAATAGATTGCTGAGATTTAGTCAAATTGGGTACTTTTTGTTGCTCTTAGCTGAGATACGAGCCCCAATGTGTTTTCCTTGTTTAGTTACTTTTAATCTTCTGATTCTGAATTGTGTATTACACAGAATCAAAAGGTTCGTAATCTCGTATGCTGCTGAATTTATTCTATATATGTGTGTTATTCATAGCTCGGTTAACCTTTTTTTTCTTTTCCACTGAAAGACATTTACTATACGTTTACTTGCGACTCTTCATAATTTGGCTACCTTTTGGTTATTGACGGTTTTGGGTTTGACTGTTTGAGTTAACTCTAGCGTAAAGAAAGTTCATAATCCTCTCTGGATTTTTGTCTTTCTTCCATTTTTGTTTGACTTTACTCTTAAGACTATTAATTAGAGTAATGTGGTAGCCCATTAGCGTTAGGAAGGTAGAATCTAGTATTTCGGAAGTGTACATGTCAACGTTTGTTTCTTGGATTCTGCTGAAATGGTATCTATGTTCGGTCAATTTTGGTCTTTCCTTTTGCAGATGTGTGGTGCTTGGTGGTAGCAAAGCAGAAGATAAGCATCTCCAATTGGTTCACACAAAAGAACATGTTAATTTAGTTAAGAGTTTAAGCACAAAACAGAAGGATTATCGGAGAAACAGGATTGCTTCACATTTGAATTCAATATATCTGAATGGAGGTTCATCTGAAGCTGCATATCTTTCAGCTGGATCTGTTGTGGAGGTAACTGACTTGTCTCTTTCTGACTGGAGGACAGAAAAGCTCTTTCGGTTGACGAATGGGAATAAGTAACAATATTTTCTTGCTACTTAACAGGTGGCGGAGAAAGTTGCAGAAGGAGAGTTAGATTGTGGCTTTGCTATTGTTAGACCACCAGGGCACCATGCTGAGGCAGATGAAGCTATGGGTTTCTGTTTATTCAACAATGTCGCAGTTGCTGCTAGTTATTTACTAAACGAAAGAGTAAAGACTATTATCCATACTTTCAAAGTTCTTTTGTCACATTTCTTTGGTGTGTTTTTGTGGGCCAACCTCTTTTGCTTTTCTTAAATGCAGCCGGATCTAGGTATTAAGAAAATTCTGATAGTTGATTGGGATGTACATCACGGAAATGGTACGCAGAAGATGTTCTGGAAAGATCCTCGTGTACTGTTTTTCTCTGCTCATAGGTATGTATTTGCGACCTCTGTTTTGATGTTGCTTGTCATGTTTTAAGAGCCAATTTTCTACTCAGACTTTCCAAACTACTTTTGCACAAAATCTTTATTGAGTTATTCTATGCATTTAAAGTGACTGAAAATGCATTTTCTGTTAGGCATGAGTTTGGAGGCTTCTATCCAGCGGGTGATGATGGATATTATAACATGGTTGGGGAAGGCCCAGGTGAAGGGTTTAACATAAACGTTCCATGGGAGCAAGGAAGATGTGGAGATGCAGATTATCTTGCCGCATGGGACCATATCTTGATTCCTGTGGTGAAGGAATTCAATCCCGATATTATTTTGCTTTCAGCTGGATTTGATGCAGGTATATATGGTTTAAGCATTTTTTTTAAGGCTATATATAAAGCAGTGCGTAACCTTTACAATTTCCTCTTAACAGCTATTGGTGATCCACTTGGGGGTTGTCGTGTTACACCATATGGCTATTCAGTTTTGTTGAAGAAGGTCGGTGCCTCTTTGTGTCCATTGTTTGTATTTACGATCCACAAGTCTCTATCACTTAAGATAACACTGCTTGTTTTGGCTGGATGTTTAGCTTTGAATTACATAATCCACACTTGGATTTTACCTCACTATTTTGCCGATGTTCTCTCAGCTGATGGAGTTTGCACAAGGAAAGATTGTGATGGCGTTGGAGGGAGGATACAATCTTGACTCAATTGCAAAGTCTTCACTGGCATGTGTCCAAGTTTTGCTTGAAGACAAACCAATTCAAGATTCTTCTGAAGCATACCCATTCGAGTCTACATGGCGTGTTATACAAGCGGTATGGTTCTGTATCATCCTATCTTCTAACTTTCCCATTTCACAATCTGTAACAATTTTTTATGAATTGGCAACGATTTATTTTCCCAGCTCAGGTTTCTGTCAAAATTATTCCATAGTGTCTGCTATGTTATTTATTGACAAAGCTCATCTATTTTTTGTGGTTAAGGTACGCAAGAGGCTATGTGTTTATTGGACTTCACTTGCAGATGAATTATCATGGAAGCTCATTGACCAGAAAACTCCTACTCCAGTTGGGCACCTTTCTTTTTATCTACCATTTCCAGTTTCATTGTCCATCGGAGAGTGTTTCCTTGCCAGATCAATTTTTGGAAAACCTCACTTCTTTCAGCAACTGCTTCTTAACTTCTTTGCCTCTCTGCTAACTTCCTCTGCTTCTTTTTTCTAGAAATTCTCTGAATCTCTTATCAGAAAATTGCTTTTGTTTGGTCATTTTAGATTATCCTTGCCTCAAGCTCCGACTCTGAAACCGAAGACCACACTCATGAAATCCTGGATCAAATGTCGAAACTCAACATTGAAAACCACCAAGTAGATACTGTTTCTCCATCTTGGAGAACTAATCTCGCAAAGGTTGACGTTTGGTATGCCTCTTTTGGATCCAACATGTGGAAACCGAGGTTCCTTTGCTATATTCAAGGGGGTCAAGTAAGCAACCCTGTTACGTTTTTTTTTTTTTTCTCAGTTCAAGTCTGAGCTTCTGTCTTACTTAACGCAGCTTTCGCCGTTTATGTTTATTTTCAGGTCGAGGGAATGAAAAGAGCATGTGTTGGTTCAATGGATAAAAGTCCACCAAAAGAAATAATGTGGGAAACATTTCCACACAGGTTATTCTTTGGCCGTGAATCTACAGTTACTTGGGGTGTAGGAGGAGTTGCTTTTACCAATCCCCTTGCTAACCTCACTGATCAAACTCACATGTGCTTGTATAGAATCACGTTAAGTGTACCACTCTTAATCTCAGTTTCTGTTTCACTTTCCATATAATAGAATCATTTCGTGATCTTTTCTGCTTATTCCGCCATCGTTTTTGTCTTTCTTCAACAGGCTTGAGCAGTTCAATGATGTTCTGTTTCAGGAAAATGGCTTGAAAGTAGATTCTGATTCTCCGCTCTTTGATCTAGCTGCTCTGCAGTTAGTAGAGAACAAAGGATCCATTCCACTTGAAGCTGCTTCGGTTAGTCAGACAACAAATGTTGATTGATACGCTTAGAGAAACATGTAATAATAACACTTACATTCGTGTATGGACATTTTACAGGATGGCTGGTATGGAAACGTTGTCTGCTTGGGGAAACAATGCGACATCCCTATACTTACAATGACGTAAGTTTTCCTTTTCCTTTTTCCTTTTAGCTGCTCAAACCGAGTTAACCGCAAAGCAAATGCTCTCTTCCAACTTCATTGTTTCCTGCGGTTTCACAGTAACTTTTAAAATTGCAGTTGCACACTTTCTGCTGTTGAGAATTTCATATCCGGTGAGATCCCTTTAAGACCTCCTTCAAAAGCTTATGCCAACACTTTGGTAAGGGGACTTGTTGAAGGAGGAAGATTCTCTGAAGAAGAAGCTGTGGCGTACATAGACAATGCTGCATCTAAACCTCTCTAGTTATATTTTTCACCCAGAAACCGCACTTTTGACTGCGATTTGGAGCTTTGGGTTTCTGAGTTATTCATTTAATATTAAGACCAAAGGTTAAGAAAGATTGTGTCTTCTCTTGGGTGTGTTATGCTTTGGGTTTGCTTAGGAACAAACTCTCTATGTATCTTGGTTATCTTCGGTTTCAGGCTTTACCGAGAAGTTGCATTCGGTCTAGTTTTATGGTCTTTGTAGGCACCGGTTATTGAATACCGGTTCAGAATATAAACTTATATTCTGAAATTCGGTTTAGTTGTTGATATGATTATTGGTTTCAAAATTATTCTTATTATCCCATTTTTATTTCCGTCAAAAAGAAAAAAAAAAGGCACAGCCGTGAAATACTTACGGTATAATGAACATATTTACCTTTTAGAAATTTGTCACAAGAAAAGACAGACAATATAATGGAAAAAATATTATGTAAACATGATATAGCATGTTAAGCTAAATATATTGGAAAATGGAGAATATTATCATATCCATATCCATCATATTTGTTTAATTACTATGCGAAAATCCACATTTTTTTTACCACTTGATCTCTCTTGTTTGTAAAAGGGAAAGTTATAGCCGAGGTAAATATGGAAAAGTAAAGTGAGGGGAAACCTTTTTCGGTGGTAAAATGGGCACGATAATTGTTTGTCTTTTCACCTTTTTAGTCAATTTTGTTACCCAAACAAAACTTTCTTAGTTGGTTATTCAACTAATTAACTTTCTGAATTAAGAGATCAAGGGATTAATTAATCAAATTATTTATTTATTTCCGATGGAAATTTAATAACCTTCTCACTAACTTGCCGTATCGTCTTTTTGTAAACGAAGAAGATAATAAATAAAAGACAGAGCCGTTCATTCTTCTGTGTTTGGCAGATTCAATTGAACCAACTTCCGACAAAGATCCTCCACCTTTTCCGATTGTCTTTCTTATCCTTTCGATTTCTTAGTCCTTCTCTTTTCCATTGGTTAAATTGATCATTTGAAGCTACACACAAGCAAGGTCTCTCTTCCCTTTTTTTTTTTCAGTCCTCGCAATGTCCGCGTAGTTTTAACGAAGTTGTTACTGCTCATCAGCTTATCTCTGACGGAAAAATCGAAGCTTTTCCTGGGTTTTCGCAGATGGGTAATTCTATTTCCATAGAGTTTGGTAGAAAGTGGGGTTTTTTGGGCATTCGTTTCTGAAATTTTTCAGATAAAAGCCCGAGCTTTCGATTTGAAATCGGAGTTTGTTCATTGGATTGGTGTTTTTTATGGAAGAGATTTATTGCACTGTCAATTGGAATGAAGAAGGAGAGATTCTTCTACTGTTGAATTTTGGGTTGCTCTCTTGATTCTTGAGGACAAGAGAGGAAGAAATGGATATATGGTTAATCGCAGCTACAGCTGCTACGGGATATATAGCTAAGCAACTGCAGAATATAAGGAAAGGTAAAGATAACTTTCTTGAATCTTCTTCTGAAGAGAATGTGAAGCCAGAATCTCCTCCTAGATGCCTGCTTAGCAGCTTGGGGAATGATAACAAGTTTGGGGATGAGAAAATGATTTCAGACGGGGAAAATCGAGTGGATGTACCATCAACGAGTGGGGAGTATTCTGGAAATTATGAAGATGTTCATTCAGATTCTTTGTTTGGTTTGATGCCTGAGTTCCCGGAGATTGAACATGGGAATTGGAAAACCAGTGCTACTCTTTCAGGTGACACAGTGTTGAGTTCTTCATTTAGGCAGAGAAGATTCGTTAGGAGAAACCAGCGGTACAGACGATTAACTAAACCTTTGAGTTCTCTGGAAAGCTGCTTAATGTCTCGTTTTCATAGAGAGCAAATGACCATGGAAGATTACACGACTAGTCCATTTCCATCGCCACACGCTTCAGTTTCAAGGCCATTGCTCGTCACTGACGGTGCTCGAGTAATTAGCAAGAGCACTGCAGATTCTTTGTGGCTGAGCCAGCAAAATATTCACTCTGAAGATAACGCTGCACGTAATTGCGGAATCCCCGGGTTCGAGTCTTTGGTTGAGAGAAAAGTGGGAAATGAGACGACCAAGAGTAGAAAACATGGTAAAGTTCTTAGAATCTTTAAATTGTGATAATTATTCTAACTTGGAAAAAGGAAAAGCCTGTACATGACATTTTGAGTTTCTGTTTTTTTTTTTTTTTCAGGGCTAAGTGATGCAACGATGTTGTTACAAATCGGGATCTCGATTGGCATAATGTCCTCGTTCATGGCAAGCCAAGCCGAAGTGAGCAAAGTCAAACAAGAGCTGAAGCAAACAGAGAACTTGGTACATGATTTAGAAGATGAGCTCGAGATGAAAGACTCGTTGATAGTGAAGGAGCTAGATATCGAAAAGGCAGCTGAGAATTCACAGTCTATAAGTAATATAGAAGCAGAGCTTGAAGCTGAACTTGAAAGACTAGAAATCAACATGAACTCTTCCAACATTGAGACAAGACTCTCTGATATGATAGAGGTGAGTTGTCCACAATGTTAACTATGCTCTTCCCTTTGCATTACCAGGATCACCAAACCTCAAACAAGATGTTCAAAGTTCAGTTTTGTAAATTCTACTATGCTTTTTTTTTTTTTTTTTTGCAGATGGAGCCGGGTTTCGAGGTAGAATTTGCACAGGGTGAGCTGAGAGCTGATCCGGTTAAAGGGAAGGTTTTAGATGAAACCGAGTCCAACCAAGATCCAAGTGGTAACTCCACACCTGAGTCCGGAAACTATGCTGTGTCACCTCGCGAATTGAGCTTGCGGTTGCATAATGTTATCAATTCACGTCTTGAGAAACGGATAACAGAGCTCGAGACGGCACTCCAAGAGAGCCGAAGGAAGGTGGAACAGCTGGTCATGGAATCAGAGGGCAAGAAGAATTCATGGTCAAGGTTATGGGAAACCCGTGAAGTGGTGACATATAAGAGTGACTCGAAAGTTCCAGTTGCTACAGAACACACCAAGACTAATCTTGCTGAGATCCAACCCTTGGTTATGAACTTAACAGGGGAAGCACTTGATGCATTCAACGACTCTTACGACGAGTTGATGAAAATTAACGCTGACTCTGAAGATGATGATTCACCACTGGAGATGCAAGAGAGCGGGCTTCACCAAGAAGATTTCTCTTCAACAAATAAGAGCTCACCTTGGAGGCATCATAAGGCTGATTCCAAGGTGGAGGAGCAGGAACTGTTAGACTTTATTGGTTTGGAAGAAGAAGACGAAGAAGAAAGCAGTGACTTTGAGAATGAAATGGAGAAGCAGCTGATAAAACAGATTGTTGAGAAAACAAAACAAGGATCTCCTGTTGTGTTGAATGCTCAGAAAATGCTGTTTCTCATGGAAGAGACAGAACAGAATCTATGAAATTAGGCAACAATAGATTTGTCTGTTTGATGAATTTTTAAGTCTGGTTAGTGTAGTAGATGTGCAGGAACAAAATTAAAGTTACGTATATCAGACCAAAATCAAAGCTGGAACACAGCGCTTTAAAGAAGAATCAGTGTATACCTTAAGAAACAATCTCAAGCTAACAAATTATTTTCAAGATAGAAAAAGCAGACTGATTCTACTAAATAAAGTGTTTCCTTCATGAATAACTATAGAGTAGCTACTACTACTAGTCATCCGATAAATATGACAAGACAACAAAGTCTTGACAACATTTTTTGCTAGTTGGTTCAAGCTCTTTTGGCAACATCAGCGTCATACTCGTAATCTCCTTCTGGTCCATTCTCCATCTTTATCTCAGTTTTCTCCATGCCTCCAAACTGAGCCTCGCCGCCATATTGGCCAGCAACACCAGACTGAGCATTGTCACCACCGAACTGAGAGCTGTTGCCAACTGGGTTTCCTTCAAAATGGTTGTCTCCAGCGAATCCACCATTGTTGCTACCGTAAGTATTGCCACTTCCATAACCACTACTTCCATTATAGGCACCAACAGCACCTGCACCTGCACTTGAACCGTCACCATAACCGCTGACGCTAGATCCATAGCCACCGCTTGCACCATATCCACCACCTCCGTGACTACCAGTCGCATCGCCTCCATAGCCACCAGCATTACCGCCTCCATAGCCACCGGCATTACCGCTTCCATATCCACCAGCATTACCGCCTCCATATCCACCACCACCGCCTCCATATCCACCACCACCGCCTCCATATCCACCACCACCGCCTCCGTAGCCACCACCACCATAGCCACCGCCTCCATAGCCACCGCCTCCATAATTACCACCACTTGTTCTATCATGTGCATAACTCACTTTAACAATCCGGCCATGGAGAGTCTGAGGGAGGATCAGAAAGAGAAAGGGCTCTTAGTTCAAACTAACATCGTTCCCAGAGAAGATAGTGAATACAATCAATTCAATGAAAGCTGATCCAACGAGGCACCTGGAAGCTCGCAGACATTATAAATCTTTCAACGATTTAAAGATCAGCAATAGAAATTACCTGGCCATCCAAAGCCTGGATAGCACTAGAGGCCGCCTCTGCAGAGGTGAATGTAACGAACCCAAATCCCCTCGACCTACCAGTTTCACGATCCAAGATAACCCTAGCTGTGTAAAAACAAAGAGGCGGGGTTAGCAATAGGCAACTCAACAAACCATACACAAGAAACAAGTGCCTATTTGCTCACTAACACACTACTGCAATCACATTTACAAGAATACTAAATGGGTCAGTTATTTACTTTCGACGACTTCACCGTATTTGTTGAAAGCTTCTCTTAAGCTATCCTCATTCATGTTATATTCCATACCTTATAACAGAAACAAAAATTCAAAAAAGTTAGCAAGAACATAGCAGAACAACTAGAAAGTTCTTCGTTTCAACAGATTTTCTAGTCCTAGACCCACCTCCAATAAAGAGCTTAGAAGATGACATGCACCTTATCGCCTGAAAAAGCGAAGGGCTTGATGAAGAAACATGAGCATTGAGATGCTTGCTCGTGGTTTGCTTCAATATGTTTCCGAATTTACTCAGAAAAGCCATTGTCGTTGGATATCTAAGATAGAAAGCCAAATTAGTCAAATCAGAAATAACTAGCCACCGGAAACTCAATTTAAAAGTAATGATCTTATTCATATTATTTGATTTTTCTATCAAGAAATAAGTCAGTGTCATACTCTTTCCCAGTATCTTAAAAACGACAATCAAAGCTTTTAAATTTTTTCACTCTCCGTTGCCTCTTTGACTTTTCAGGAACTAAACAGTGATGGGAAAAGGAAACACAAAGCAGCTATATCAGAAAAACAAATCGGAAGCAAACATCGGCAACAAAACACATGAAAATGAAAAGCAAAGAAATTTCAGATTATAGCTCAAGATCACTCAAAATTCGAGACGAGATAACCTCTAAAACAGCTAAACAGAATCGAAGCTGACGACTTAGAGAGTTTCTGAGAAAGAAATGACCGTGAAGAGTAAAGTACCTGACTACACTTCGCTTCCTCTGTGATTCTTGGCTTCTGTTAAAACCCTACTTGTTCGAGGAAGGGTTTATGTAGCAAAATATGCAAACGATCCAAGTAAATCGTGACCGTTGACAATTCAGTGATGTAAAAGAGATTTGCACACGTATGTCTTTCTTATTGGGTCGTCATTTGTTTTAAGTGACAGCCCAATCGCTATAACGAATAAATACCCTTTTATTGCTGGTTAAACGAACCAAAAAACGATTATTTTAATTATTGCAAATCAAATTACATCTCCACAATGGAGTGTAAAATTCTACAACCTTATTTACATCATTACATTACATGTATCACAAATCGTTGCGTAAGTAAAACAAACAAACAAAAGAAAAGAACAGAGAGAGAGAGAGTCATAAATAATTTCTTCATCATCTCCTACGAGAGCTGCGTAATGATCTAGGAGATGGCAAACACTCAAAGAGATCAAGGAGCAAATTCTCAATATCTTCACAAGTGTATCGGATATGTCTATCGCCAATACGAGCTGCATTTCTACCGATAAATCCTCTGTAAGACTGAACAACTTTGACGGAGGTCGAGATGTGAAGATCGTCGCGGAGCTCTGGATCAGGAACCGACCAACGGGTTTGATTCTTGTAAACATCATCGAAAGCAAGACAGAAAAGTCTGCATCTTTCTCTCAGGGTACTTACAGAGTCGTTGTTGTCTTTTAGCAAAGAGAGAATGGAGCTCCATGTGGATCTCTCGTAGTCTGTGACATTGTGTTGGTACCTTGCGATGTGTTTCCTGATCCATTCGTCTCCAAAGAAATGCCTCAGCTCTGACCCTTTCACCTTCTGGACCATGTAATGGAAGTTGTTCATCAGGAAGATGAATTTGAGTGATTCGTCTGCGTAAAGCTGAGCTTTTCTCTCGAGGCTGGACTCGAGAGTTGTGACAATTGACCGGAGATGTCTAGCCATGGGAGAGAATGTGGAAGGAAGGATGTCTTGACCAGTTTTCTCCGGGATTGAGTCATCAACTTCAAGGTTCTCAAGGAGTGAGTTTAGAGCATCTGTGTACTTTGGGAGAAGCTTCAAGTAGTTCATTACATACCTGGTCAGGTGATGTATCCCGCCTCCAGGAAAGGCACGTGAGGATTCATTCGCGGCTATTGCGTTTTTGAACTTCAAGAATGTTGTAGTTGTACGATTAGCTAGCTTCTTGGACAGCTCGTGGAAAGCCATTCTTAGAAACGAGCCTGTTTCCTCCGAGAAGAGGTTATCGACATCCAAGAGAATCTCTGCTGAAACCTCATACATGCTAAGGAAGCTCTCAAGCATTTCTGGCTGGCAAGATCTCAGCGATACAGCTTCACCAAAGTTGAGGAGAGATAGAATCAAATCTTTTGAGATTTCAATGAAGCAAGCTGTAGAAATCGGATCAAAGTCTCCCAAGATCTGTTCACAGAGCCGTTTCTCACTGGGGAGATAGACTTGAGTAATGATCTTTAAGACCTTTGTCCATTTCCTCATTGCGCAGTTCAGATCCTCCCAGTCCATTTGAAGGACTTCGACACAGCTGAGTCTTTCCAATTCGAGTGTGATCATATATTCATCCAGAGCTTCTCTTCGAACGCTGATGAAAGCCTCACGGAATGCTCGACCATAGTCGCAAGCAAACATTGCGTTTGCAATAGCCTTGATGTGAGGAATGATGAGGGGATCAACCATATCAGCAGCTTGGAATCCCAAAGTCTGTTCATCATCTTCGAGTGAAGAAGCTTCAACAACAACTTCATCATCTAGGGAGACAAAGGACTCGTCGTAGACAATATCCTTCCCACGGGAACTAACAGCCAAGTATTCAGGCTTTATATGCTGTTTGTGCTGATACAGAACATCACAGAGCTCTTTCTCGAGCCTCACCATCGCGATGTCAAGAGCAACCGTGGCTTGGTTGTAAACATCTTTCTCCTTCAGGTTAGTTTTGATGGGGAAAGCTTTGAAACCCATAAGAAAGGTTTGAACTTCATACAGGGCTTGAAAGAAGTGATTAGCTTCAGACGGACCAGCTTCCAATATAGTGGACTGGTTTGTCTCCCAACCGAGGATTCTCTTCACAGCTTCTTTGAATCTCTCGTCCATGTCAGAGAATCCTGTATCTTCTTCAACTTTGGTATCAACCATCCCAAACGTTGACAGATGCGACTCTAGATCACTTAGGAGCTTTCTCAAGTTGGCATCGAGGTTGTTATCAGATGCCCTCAGTGCCTTAACAACATGGTGACATGCCTCAAAGACATGATTTTTCCCTCCAGAGACAGGAAGCTTTGATTCAAACTCTGCCATACCCAAAACCAAAGACTAGAGCCTAAACTCAACGTGAACTCTACGAGGAAACTATAAACAGACACAGCAGAAGAGAGAAACGTAAAAGGGTTTCCAGGTGAAAGCAAAAAATAGGGAGGGGAGCAGTAAAGACTAGACTAATGGAAACTGTTTGGTCAATCCATGAAGATGGAAAAAGTGGAGATGTTTTCTGATTAAAGTAATAACTAGACAAGCTTAATCCCGAGAGCTAGACATGGAAAAATAAAAGTCATGTCCATTGGACAACACCAGGAATGAAGTAAACAGAGAGGAAGAGGAATCCCCACATGAACATGGTAAAAACCATTAAGCTTAATCCATTTGACGTAATTTATGAAAATAGATCAGTGAAGCCCTCTTCAAATTCAACATTTTTTTTTACCTCCTCACAAGACCATTCTATCTCTCTGAAGAAAACAGAGCTATTAGCCCTTCCCAGACTCCACCCAAAGAAAAAGTCAAAAGTCAACAGCTTCCCGAAAACCCTTTCTTGCTTCTGTAACAAGGAGAAATTTCTGAGGAATATCAGACAGAGGTTTGATCGTTTTCTGCTCTTTGATTTCGCAGAAGGATTTTATCATAAACTTGATGATGGAACAGAGTGACGTACCGTGAAACGAGCTTAATCCAACGTTTTCTGGATGGAAATTTTTGTAATCACTTTTATATAAAACAAAGAACAAATTTTGGAAGCAAGAGCAAGAGATTAGATTTAGGAGAGATTGTGCGGAAGAGTAAGCAAAAGAGAGGAAGAGTTGTTTGTGTAAGCAGAGTTCCAATATAAGAAGGTTGAAAAATGGAATTAATATTCGAGTGAAGGGGAACCCGTAATTTCGTAGATTGCGAAAGGTTGAGAAAAATGATAAATTACAAAGCTTTGTTCATTCGTCTTTGGAGATTTTATGGCCGCCCCATAATCTAACTGAGATCGATTCGGCCATTGACTTCCCCACATGACCAAATTAACTGAAATCTGGGGATAGAAATAGAAGTAGGAAACTTCGAAATATTCCTACTTATTCTTATCATTTTAGTAATATCACCCATATTTCGTTTAGTTACACTTGTCCCCCTTTCGCTGTTCCTCCGTTCAAGGTTTTTGGTTTCATTTTTAAATTGGACACTAGACATGTTTATGAATTTAGACAAAAAAAAATTGGACATTTTTATTACTATATGGTGCTAATTTTCACACCACCGTGTTTTTAGTTCTGTTAATGGGGTTTTAGTTCAAATTGAATATATTTAGGTGAAATGTTTTAACTTTTAGGGAAATCAAGGGTACAACAAAAATTGCTCCTTTTTTCTCGGGGTTTTGTTGCGCGCTAATATTAAGTTTGATTAGTCAATACTAAAAGTTTGACTGGCTCACTTTGGGGAAATCATGTATCGATCTGAACCGTCCGATTATATTCCACGGCCCAAACGAGTAGTTAACAGCTCATCAAGCTCCGAGTCAAATCCACTATATATTTAAATAAATAAATATGCCTAAGCCTCTGTTTCCATCCAAAGGTTACAGCCTTCGACGAAGCGCCAAAAGCAGGAAAGAAGCGGTACAGTTTTGGGAAATACGTTTGGAAAAAACAAAACCGCGGGAGTAATAAATCGAAATTTAATTAGATCCCGCTCAAGTCTCTCCCTTTACAAAACCCTTCCTCTCCTTTTATCATCTCCACTCTTCACAGCTAATCTCACACACACAGAGACCTTTTAGTTTTCCATTTTCTATTAAGCAGAAATCAGAAACGTTTCAATCGCGAGAGAAAAAGATGCAGACTTCGGTGACCCCAGATGCTATCTCCGCTGTATTATCCAACCCATCCTTTGATTCGTCCTCCGATCGACCTGATATCGTCGTTCAAGTCGTAGATCTTAAGCCTATCGGCAATCGATATACGTAAGCTTCGTTGTCTCTTCATCATCTTCTGGGTTTTATTTGATTTCTTATTCTCCCCTTTTCCGATTCTAGATTATTGTTCATCTTTTCTAATCGAAATGTTTGAATTGAAATCCGTCTCATATCGGAATATAGCTTTACAACTGTGTATGATTCCATGATAGAGATCTGGGTTTTAGTTACCGATTTGATTATAGTTCTGGTTTCGCTCTGTTGGATCTACTTCAGGGTTGTGAGGGATTGTATGTGTGCTTCGAATTTGATCTGATTTGGCTTCTGATTTTGGTTTACAGGTTTAGTGCGAATGATGGAAAGACGAAAGTCAAAGCAATGTTTACAGCGTCACTGACACCTGAGATTATTTCTGGAAACATCCAGAATCTGGGTCTGATCCGCCTCCTTGATTTCACTGTAAACGACATTTCAAGCAAATCAACAAAGTAAAGAATCTCTTTTGCTTCTTTACATGAATTTATCACGTATTTCAATTATTGAGCTTCTAACATATGTTTTAACTCCCTGCAGATATTTCCTTGTGAACAAATGTGAGGCTGTTGCTCCTGCGCTTGATTCCGAGATTGACTTGGAGAGTAAGAGCGAAGAGGAGGGTGGTGAGTTCAAGAGGCAGAAACTAGAACACTCTCCTGTGAATGATGTTAAGACGGATGTTTCAACTGGTATCACGTTGAAGCCGAAGCAGGAATTTGTTGCCAAATCGGCTTCTCAGATAATCAGTGAACAGAGGGGAAAGTAAGCGCAGTCTCTTTATGTCTTTAATGTTTCATCTTCTTTGTCAAACAATTTGAGTGTTTGCTTAATCGCTTTGTGTTTTTGCAGTGCTGCACCAGCTGCTAGAATGGCCATGACTAGAAGGGTTCACCCACTTGTGTCCTTGAATCCCTATCAAGGAAGCTGGACCATCAAAGTCCGAGTCACTAACAAGGGACCCATGAGAAATTACAGAAACGCTAGAGGAGAAGGTTGTGTCTTTAATGTGGAACTGACAGATGAAGAAGTAAGAGAGCTCCCACTTTCATGAAATCTCAAACTTTTACAGACTTTCGTTCTATGTGGTTTGGTAACTCATCTTGTTAATTTTTGGTGTAATTCAGGGAACACAAATTCAAGCCACGATGTTTAATGATGCTGCAAGGAAGTTTTATGATAGATTCCAATTGGGAAAGGTCTATTTTATCTCAAGGGGATCTCTTAAACTTGCTAACAAGCAGTTCAAGACAGTTCAGAATGATTATGAGATGACTCTCAATGAAAATTCGGAGGTCGAGGAAGCTAGTAACGAGGAAATGTTTGTTCCCGAGACTAAATTCAACTTTGTACCCATTGAAGAGTTGGGCTTGTATGTCAATCAGAAGGAGCTTATTGGTAAGAGCCTTTTTTTCATTGAACATTCACTTGCAGGTCACTTATATATTGGTTCACGATGATAACAACTTGAATATTATGCTATTTCCAGATCTTATTGGAGTTGTTCAGAGTGTTTCTCCTACCATAAGTATTAGAAGGAGAACTGACAATGAGATGATCCCCAAGAGGGATATAACTTTGGCTGATGAGTCAAAGAAAACTGTTGTGGTGTCACTGTGGAATGACCTGGCAACCGGCATAGGTCAAGAACTGCTAGACATGGCTGATAAGTCTCCTGTGATTGCAATCAAGTCTCTCAAAGTTGGAGACTTTCAAGGTAATCTTGGGTTTGCAATGATTGAATAATATGTCGAAATCACACATCTTTAAACCTGTTTGCTGATTTCAACCAATCTCTCCAGGTGTTTCGTTGTCCACCATCAGCAGGAGCAATGTGGTGATAAATCCTGAATCACCAGAAGCTAAAAAGTTGAAATCTTGGTATGTCTTTTGGATCGAGTCAGCTGAGAAATTAAAAGGATGAATCTTGTCTATGCTTATTTATTTAAATTTGTCTTTGACTTATGTAGGTATGATTCTGAAGGCAAGGAAACATCCATGTCTTCCATTGGCTCAGGGATGAGCCCATCTGCCAAGAATGGAGCTTGGTCTATGTATACTGACCGAGTTCTTCTCTCTCACATCACAAGCAACCCATCTCTAGGCGAGGAAAAGGTACTTATTGAATTCCAGTCCTGGACCAAAATTGTTTAACAATAGAGTTTCGAGCTTATTATGACATTGGGTTTCTGTTGCAGCCTGCATTTTTCAGCACTAGGGGTTACATAAGCTTCATCAAACCAGACCAGACAATGTGGTACCAAGCTTGCAAGACTTGTAACAAGAAAGTGACTGAAGCAATTGACGCTGGTTACTGGTGTGAAGGTTGCCAGAAAAAAGATGAAGAATGCAGCTTAAGGTTAGAAACTCAGATTCGTAGATCAAAACTATGTCGAGTTTTTTTTCTCGTCTTTAGAAACTTAGTTCTCTCTACTTTGTGTTTTGCCAGGTATATAATGGTGGTGAAAGTCTCTGACTCAACAGGAGAAGCATGGTTTTCCTCATTCAACGATGAAGCAGAGAAGATCATTGGTTGTTCAGCTGACGAGCTCAACAAACTAAGATCAGAGGTAAGGAAACAAAACCCTAAAAAAGTTATCTGTTAACTTGGAACTATGTTGAACAATTCGATGTCATGTTTAATGTTTAAACCTTTCCAGGGAGGTGAAGTAAATGAATTTCAGACAAAGCTGAAAGAAGCAACCTGGTCATCTCATATCTTCAGGATAAGTGTCACTCAGAATGAGTATAATGGTGAGAAGAGGCAGAGGGTAACTGTGAAAGGAGTAGCTCCTGTTGATTTTGCTGCTGAAACAAGATTACTGCTTCAAGACATCTCCAAGAAGAGCAAATGAGATCTCAAGCTTCACATGCTAGGAATCTTTTGGCTTACAAAAGTCTCGAAACTTTGCTTGTAATATATAAGCTTTTCTGCAGTTTGTACAATTAGAGTTAACATCATTTAATTGGATTAAAGCTTATTTCTTAGTAATTTTTACCTGCTTAAGATTTGCAAGTGATTTATATTGTGCTGATTATATAGATAGGACCAAATCAATCAGCAAGGTTTTGAAAGATAATGATATGAACATTTTGATAGGCTTCTGGAAATAACATGATTGGGCCCATAGTTTGAGATAGCAGGCTCATAGTAGGCCCAATTAAGCTAATTGAATAACAATATAACTAAAACCCTTTTGTAGCCAAAAACTCGCTCGCTCACTGTCTCCTCTGCTCTTTCGCTGAAAAATATTTATCCAACTTGCTTTACGGCGATTTGTCCCCGGAAATCTTATAAACGCGATCGTTCTTTAGGCTATTTGATTCGCGCGCGATAGTTGAGGTCCCGAAAGGAAAAAGGTAGCGAATTTTTTTGTGGGTATTGAAATGGAAGAAGAGAACGAAGTGGTGAAGACGTTTGCAGAACTCGGTGTGCGTGAGGAGCTTGTAAAAGCTTGCGATAGATTGGGATGGAAGAACCCTTCGAAAATTCAAGCCGAAGCCCTTCCTTATGCTCTTGAAGGTACGGTTTTATTATTTATTTGGACCTTTTGTATCTAGGGTACTCTCCAATGCAATGATGTTTAGGATTGAATCTTTTGACGCTCCTAGTTCTGTGTTTAGGTCTTTGCGAGATCGAAAAGCTTCAAACTTTTTATTATTAGGGTTTATCATGGAATTCAATTGAACCTAACGTGTTGATGTCTGGTTCAGGGAAAGATGTAATTGGACTTGCGCAAACCGGTTCTGGTAAAACCGGAGCCTTCGCGTTGCCTATTTTGCAAGCACTTCTTGAGTATGTTTATGACTCTGAGCCGAAGAAAGGGCGTAGACCTGATCCTGCATTTTTCGCCTGTGTTTTATCTCCTACTCGGTATGATTCCCCCACCTCGGTTTCTTCTAGCGTTTACTTTGGTGATATGTTTTTCTGCGTCATTCTTAATTGGATTTGATTGTTCTGTTTTCTTCTCTCCAGAGAGCTTGCAATCCAGATTGCTGAGCAGTTTGAAGCTCTAGGATCTGATATAAGTCTTAGGTGTGCT